TCACCATAGTCTTCTGTGATCTTGAAACATGACAAAGCAGTATAGCAAAAAAGGACCCAATAAGCTCCCTTTATAAGGCTATATAAGACTGTGGGGGTTGATCTTGGTGCCTGGACTACTCAAACCTCTGGTGGGGCCACCACTGGACCACCAAGCCAGAACTCACTTGCTTAACAGTGTATTTACCTACAGTGCTTTTACAAGCCTGCAGCTGCTATGTTGCATCTTTCCAACTTTAATTCGAAGTTCAACTGGTCTTCAAACAAATGCTCCCTTAAAAATCACAGATACTACTTATGAAACATAACCTTCCCTCACGGGAAGCATCAAGCACAACCCATACCATACTTGATTCGGACCTTGAGGATTAACATTTATATAAAAGGGGTCTGTTCCTGGAAACCTTTGCTTCAAACTCTGTGAAACTTCCACCACATATTTAAATAGCAGTGTTTCATGTACATTTATACCATTATAAACGATACCACCTAAGGAGTCCTTCTGCTGTGCCTTTTGCAACTGGACTTGTCTATCTCGTATTTGCCTTTTTAGCCACCAGCACGCTTGTAGCAAATGTAAGTAGAGCCCTTCCCAAATCTTCGTTTGCGAAGCCTAGCCATGATAGCATTATAAAAATTAAAATAGTCTTTTTACAATAACCAGTCTGCTACAATCAAGGGTCAAGCCAAGCCAAGTCCTTTGTCCTGGCACATTTGGACAGGACACTCCTTAAACTCCTTGCAGGGTCAGCCAAACTGAAGCCAGTTTCTCCAGAGGGTGGCTGCTTTAGCGCCGCACATGTCTCTGCCTTTGAAGTCTCTGCTCAAAGTTGCTGAGAACAAGGCACCTCTAATCCCAGGAGCTGGGCATGCATCGACAAAACACAGCTCCCATTCTTTTGGGCCTGACCCCACTTTTTGCTGTGGCACGAACAAATCTCCCAGATGGTGCATATAGTGGGTAACAGACATGCCTTGTGCTCCCAGGTGTACTTCAGTGCTGAGTGTGGGGAGCCAACAAGGAGATGCTGTTTTCTATGGCCTCAGAAATATTTCTCTCTCGGGATTTTCCTCTCTTGTCTGGTAGGTTGGCACTGCAACACCCAGGAGCTCTCAAAAGCTCTCTGCTCACAGTAGCTCCCCACAGCGCTGCAAAGGGGAACATAGGGAAGGGATGGAGGGGGAAGAAGAGGTAACAAAAATTCTTCAGGAAGCAGAGCCAGAAATGGGAAGTGCTACTGAGCCTTCACCTGCAATTGAATTTTCATAATGGTCAGGCTGATTTGGAGGCTGCAATTCTGTGCTAAGGTTTGGAGAGTGCTCTGGAAAGAGCTGGACAGTTCCCCGTTTGGTCTTGCTGATGTATAGCGTCAATATGCCCTATGGCAAGTCATCTCCAGGCAGTGCCAGACATCAGGACAGACACTGTCCATGCTCTCAAATAGGGCTGTGTTTTTCAGGGGGGCTCCTTTCTCCTCTCTGTGCAGTCGTTTCCTTCTCTGCACACAGTGTCAGATGCTCCACTGGAGATCACTGTGATCTTAGCGATCTGTCTGCTTGTAATCATTAACTGTACAACACACTGTGACATTGCATTCACTTCCTTTTCCCCCTCTACCTCTCTTCCGTACCATATAAGCCACCTCCTGTCTGTATGATCTGATGTTTGAGCTCAGATTCCCATATGGAAATTCATATTTTTCATAGTTGACTTCCGTAGGGGCCCTTCCCCAATACCCTCATAAGAAGTGAACAACAATTAAGATTTTTTTCCTATTCTTAGACAGCATACACACACACACACACACACACACAAAATATTTACTGTTCCTCCAGCTATTTACAAAGGCAGGTTTACATTCCCACACTAGCAAGGGCAGGAAGTAGTGAAAACCATAATTCAGGGCTCCTAAATAAAAGCAAGTCAACAGAACAGCCAGCTGAGCTGAGCTCTAGCACCACTCCTCTGCCCCCATTTCACTTTTCACCCCTTTCTCCAAGTCCCCAGCTGCAAAGAAGAAAGGCAATAAATCTTCAAAGGTCAAATGCTGGTGCTGGCTTGCCAGGATGGACGAGTTTGGTGTCTGATGTCAATGTGGGGCTGTTTTCCCTAGTGCCCATGTCAGCATGTCAGGCTGTTTTAAGGATGACACCTCAGCAGTAAGATGAATATTTGGGCTCTGAGTTGGATGACAGCTGTCTAACAGATTGAAAAGAAGGGTAAGAGGATGGTCATGTGGGCCTGGCAGCATGGGACCAGCCCTCTGATCAATATCTTCACACACTCTTGTCCCCATATTTGACTGCTTCAGAGATGGGGGAATCATTTTTTGAAGCTCCTCTGGCAGAAAAGCATCCCTTGCAGCAAGGAGAAAATGGTCAAAAGCAAGGCAGCTCATGTCTCCCTGGAGTGATATGCAGAAGGTACTGGCCTGAATATGCAGAGTTAAAAAAACCAAACAGACTCAGCTGCCTAAAAGAGAGTCAGTGCAAGGAAAATAATAAAACTTCTGTATTTGTGCCATGAGTTTTGCGCAAGACAGTCTGCACCACGTGTGCTTGTGACTCAGTACCTGCTGTAAATAGGGGAGGTACTGGGGAGAAGAAAGAGGCAGGTTGTCTTTCTCCATGCACAACCAGATATTGATGGATGGATTCCACTGTCCTTTGCAGGGAAAAGGAGGTGACAAGGACTGCTGCAGCCTTCCATGTTGACCCAGCATGGACAGATGTGGGTCATGCAGGTGGCAAAGCACATCAGGATACCTCCAGTGCCTTGACTGTCAAATCTAGGCAGAGCATTTGCTCTCTCCCCCACTTAGACCCAGGGTGGAATTGTGCCTGCCATCAGCACACACCTTGAGGTGCTTTGGTTCTCTGCCTAAACCATGGGGGGAGATGTTTCAAACACACCTTCTTTCCCAGATAAGGGGGTTATATTAATGCATCTGATGACATTAGCAGTTGAGACTGTTGGAAACTGAGGGCAATTCCCACCAAATTTTTTTTCTACTTTGCCTTAGGAAAAAAACCCAAAGACTAATTTGGAAAATTTTCATGATCTGATTTTCTGAGAGAAGTTCATAAGTTGGTAAAGCACTGGAACAGGTGCCTAGACAAGGTGTGAAGGCCAGGCTGGATGGGGCTTAGAGCAACCTGGCCTAGTGGAAGGTTCCCTGACTGTGACAGGGGTGTTGGAACTAGATAATCTTTGAGGTGCCTTCCAACCCAAACCATTCTATGATTCTATGAAGTTTGTGGGGAAACTCAACACTGTAATGCAAAACTCCTCTGACGCTCTAATGTGACAAATGCTGGGGCCCAACAGAGGGTCAGGTAAAGACCACAAGCAGCAATTGTTTGACTTTCTTGACAGTGTCATGAATCCTAATTAACAGCCTCAGGCATCTTTGTAGTAGTGTGCCTTTTCTTTTAGTGGCCAAGCTATCACCTTATCCTGCTCTAAGTAATACCGCAGGGCAAGCAAAAGTTCCAAGATAGGCTCTGTCAAGCTGTCTTCCCTTCAGATAAGCTATCGTAGTTGTTCAGCTCCACAAGGTAGACACATACAGCAGTTTTAGCTGGGCAAAATGTACTAAGTGTGAAGTTGGGAAAAGGTTTATCTTTTTGCAACATTTTGTCAATGGTTTTCTCTATTAGACTTTTTCTTCAATAGAAATTGTTTCAATTTAGACCCTTAGGGATAGTCTGTGCATAATTTTTCATACTGACTTAACTATATTAGCTTCAAAGCTGATGTAATTAAAGTAGTATTCCCTCCTCCTCCACAGTCACACTTTAACTGGTATAAAGGGACTTATAATGGTACTGTTTACATGAAAATTAACTGCATTAATTTTTCCTTCTCTGCACACCTGTATTACATCCAGACAGCTGCAACATCACCAGGGGATGGGCTGGGGATGAAATACCAAAAGCCTTCTGGCAGATTTAAATGCGTAGGCAGATAATACTAATGAGACAGACTATCTCACAGTCTGGTCTTGCACTTAGTGGGACAGGCTGAGACTCAGCATCTATGGATTTGAGGAAAAGGAATCTACAAGAGTTTGATTTGGGGCACTCTGTCAAGAGAGTCCAAAAAGAAAGAGGAAGTTATAGCTTCTGGTCTCACACCAGCATCAATCAGGATCTCCACTCCTGATGGCAGAGAACAATGTATTGGTTTCAGCTATTGCCTCTAGCTATCTCCTCATACACACAGCCCTGTCAACTCTCACAATGTCTTGTCTGGGTACTAAAGTTTGCAGCCATTCTTCCATCCTCCCTAGCCTGCCTTTCCCTCTCCCAAAATCGAGGTCTTCTTCCAAAGGAACCAGCTGCACCCCACATCAGGTGAGCACCTGTAAGTCACCACAGTCATCTTCTCTATACAGATGCCAAACAAAGTGCAACATAATTTCACATTTGTCACTTTCCAGGCTCCTTCCCATTCTCCCTGATTTGTGATTTCTATTTCAGGAGCTCTGTAAAGGAGCTCCACTGATTAATCCTCCAACTATGAACTAAAAGTAGCTGTAAGCCCAAGCATGGGGAAGGGACCCTTAAACGTTCCTGGCGGAAAGAGGAAGTATTAATTCTGGCAGGGAAACAGCACTTAGCTTGCCTGCAGAATGACTTAATTTGTTTCTTAATGGACACAATGCTTTGCTGATAAAAGCCCTAAAGTGCCTTCAAAAAAAAAATTAAGAAAGCGATTGTTCGTTCTTTACCCGTCGGAGATTTCATTTGTAATGTTTATGCTTCAGCCTGGAAAGCAGAAAGGGTTATGCTCTGGATGGGAAGTTAACATGTGCAGGCTCAAGTACTTTGTTAACTTTGAAATGGGAAGGCGAAGTCCACCATCGAAGAACTGCTGAGAGCAGCTCCTTGTAGGAATTACTGTCCAGCCAGAGCTTCAGGACAGGGCAGGAGGGATGCCTAGACATCCAGGGAGACTTTTTTACCTACACTCTTGTGTGTTATAGGAAGAAGAGGTTGGAGATTAAACCCTGCCTCTGAATTTCCCTAAACTGGATAGTAAGGAAAGTCAGCTCTGCCATGTATCAGGTGAAAGCTGGGACCAAACACCGCTCCTTGGACAGAAAGTGTTATCAGCCACTTGGCTCTTCCTTCTGATGCAGCTTTCAGGTGCTGGTATTTTCTTATAATTGCTGATATCTCAGGGAAGGGGAGGAGGAGGAGTGATAGATTCTGGAGATGGGAATAAAGAAAAGCTTTTTAGATGATACATGACATCAGAATACCAACCAAATATTCAGAAACTGAAAATGAGATTCCTGCCCAGCTCTGGATCCTGGCCCAGGGCTTTGTTTTGGCCATTTCTGCAGGCTGAATTTGTGCTGCTGACCACTGCCAGGGATCTGAGCTAGACAAACCATTTGTTCAATCTCACAGGACAGTTCCTGTGTACCGTAATGCATGATGGCTATTACATTTCTAGGGATCCAGGCTTTCATCTTAAGCCCAACATCCAGACTTTGGTACCCATTCTGAAGTGTTGGGGCTCCTGCTTGTACTCCTTGCCACATTTGCCTGGAGCTGCTGGTTGTACTGGGTGAGTGCCAGCCCCACACTGCCATTTCTGCACATCTCCATGGCAGGCAAAGTCCTTCTGGCATTCCCTTGGTATATGGTATATGCCTGGGATGGTGCTGCAGCAGGGTTGATCATGTTTCCTGTCAAGGTTAGTGAATCGCCTGCTCCCACCCTCTTAGGTCTGGGATCCCTTGTTCAGTTAATCTCATACTGGGCTTCTTGGAGATACATGACTCACAGGTCACCATCTCCTCTTATGCCTGGGAGCCTCTTCCAGGAAGGAGGGGAAAACAACTTGTCCTCAGAGATTCATCCCTCTCTCCAGGATGGGGACAGCAGACTGGGTCAGAAAGAGAAAGCTTGGTTATCAGAATCTCTCCATAGCAGAAAGTTTCCTCCCTGTCCATGAGATGAGGATGGAATAGCAGAGCTTCTGGAGGCTGGACTGAAGTAAATGAGAAACCAATGTAAAACATTTCAACTCACAGAGAAAACTCAAGGATCCAGGAGTATCAGTGGGAAGAGGGAAGATCTTGCAGAGATCAGTGCTATAAAGAGCAATAAAGCAAAAGAATATGATTAGCTACTCAAAATAAAGCTCCTTGAGTAATGTATTAGCCCATGCAGGAGTAAAATACCCTATGTAATGTACAGAGCAACTACGTGCAGAAATCCTGGGCCAAAGCTAAAAGTGGGGGAAAGTGCAATAGAGTCTCTGTTTTAGTGTTGCTCTGTCATAAGCAGTCACCAAGGTTCAAACACCAGTGAAAACTGCATAGCATGCTGCCCTGGTGAGCAGAAAGGGCACCCTTGTGTCTGCAGAACAGGCAGGATGAACATTAGAGAGATGCAGGAACTTGGCACAAGGTCCGATTGAAATTGAAAATTCCTTGACATGGGCAAATCAAGGTGGAAATCAGTGCAGGAAGCCCTGCGCTTTTTTGGGCTTCCCTTCTTCTTGCCTAGTAGGTCAATATGTTGTTACTTGCTCTAACAGGATAAACCAGGGAAATCCCATTTCTAAATGTGCACTGAGCATCCAGCCCAAATCCTGATCTCACTTTTACAAGCATCAAGGCAGGTTTAACATCATCTGAGCAACTTCCGACTTAGAGTGGTGTCACCATGATCAGAATCAGGCCTTTAGTCATTCTTGGCATGAGACTCTGTTTCCCTCCCCCTCCTTCTCCCTTTATTTTCTGTGGTCTATAAGATAATTTGCTAAATATATTACTATGTGCTGTTTGTACTGTCTACCTCTTCAAGGTGTTCCTATGCTGTCACCCCTTCCCCATTCCATTCTGTGGGAATTTCATAAATCACTGCAGGTTACACTCACCTACTGTGGGGCCATGCATCACCTAAATACTGTCTTCACTCACTGCCTTTCACCTCAAGGACAATAAGAAAAGATGCTCCTGCTGGCTGGTCTGCTTCTTGCCTCGCAGAGGATGTGTGAGGAAAACTCCAGACACAGCAGTATATTGATCTAAATTAAACACACACACACAATCTAATTGCACTGACAGGAAACTGGTGTTTAAAGGCAGAAAATTAAAGCTGTTAATATAATAATGAACAGTTGTGCTTACTGTCTGTGCCTCTGACATTTCATATTGTCGTCTCACTAGCTAATAACCGCCTCTCCCTCTTTTGTGGGAGTTAAAATGTTTTCATCCATTCACCCAACAAGTTAGCTCTCCAATTGTTTGACAGTTACTAATATATCCTACCTGCTAATGAGCCACCGAGCTGGAGCTGCATAGGTGATGGAATAACAGCCACCCACCACTCCACAATAACCCTGGTCAGGTCAGGCAGAGCACACTACCTGCTTGCTTGCCACTCGCCTTGGTCCCTTCGATTAGGGCAGGCCCCCAACAGCCCCACTCACTCCCTTGGTGCTGATGGGAGGACATCAGGAGCAACTCTGTCTGAGCAATGATGCTAGTTTGCTGCAGGAGGAGCGGAGAGCCACAGCCACTGCCTTGGGCCAAAGAGGTCCTTTCCCAGGTCAGAGCTGGGAAGTCAGACCCTGGCTATGGATGGGGACCCCAGCTCAAGCTGCTGCACCGTCCATGGCTTTGCAGGGGACCTGGCAGGTCTGCCCATGCAGCTATTCCCAGAACAAGCTGCAGAGGTTTTTGAGGCACTGCACTAGACCCTTGTTCTGCCTTTTATGATAATTCGGCTCCTCTAACTTCCAGTAGAGAACTGTGAAGACTTCAGCCTGCAGCCAGTTAGGCTGCTGGGCTGGGCCATTTCAAAGGGTCTCTTCAAGTTTACTGGCCAGCTGCCACCTGTCTGCTCTCCCAGAATCAGGGGCATGAGCACCGCAGCTCAATGACTTTTTCGCTTGGGGAACTGTGCTCACTGGTAAGTAAATATCTCTGCTCCACAGACAGGGAGCCTGTGGGGAGGGCAGGAGGACAGGCTTGCTTGTGAGTCAGAATCAGGACTGGGAAATGGGCCCTTGCCCCAGCCCCCAGCATTGCCGGTTTCAATTTCGAACAGTTGAAGAGGGAGAAGGGGAATGAGGCTCATCTGCCTTTAAAGACAACCTGCAAGCTGATTTCCTCCAACGATTTTCCAATAAACTTGGCTACATTGCTTGAGTGGATTCTTGACAGCCTCAGCATAACAGAAAGGGCACCACATTCCCCTACAGTAGCCCCCACAAGGGCTGCACAAGCTCAAAGCCTGTGGAATAAATGTTACACTACCCAGGCCAAATCCTGCTTTGTGCTGCCCACCAGTCATGTCCTAGGTGATGTGTAGGTACCTTTTTAATTGTAGTGGGATGAGTTTGAAGTGGCCAAAGTAATTGCACCTATGGTTAGTCATCATCATAACTGGGAGACACCTTCTTCTGCTTGCACAGCCAGTGTGCAGAGTCCCATGTCCAGAAGGCAGGCAGGAAGGCAGGAAGGAAGGAAGAAAGGAAGGCAGGCAGGCAGGCAAGAAGGCAGCCAGGCAGGACAGAAGGCAGGAAGATAGGAAGGCAGGCAGGCAGGCAGGCAGGAAGGAAGGAAGGGAGGTAAAGACACCATTCATTCTCTGAATCTGTCTCCATTGGCTCTGGAACTGGCTCTTGAGACTGACTTGAAACATGGGAATGAGCAGGAACTTTAACTGGTGCTGTGGTCACATCCTTATCAAGACTTCCAGAGGATAATGAAGAAAACTCTGCAACATATAAATTTATAAAAGCATGTATCCCTTGGGGAAACTGCCGCTACCACCCATCTCATAGAAACTGGTTTCTGCCACGAATCATGGGGATTGAGAGTTCATCTTACAAAATTAAGTTTGTTTCCATAATCCATATTCATGCATAATTTTTTTATTTTGTTCCCACTCTGTTTTTTGGACACATTAATTTTTTACAGCAAGGAGTTCCACAGACCTGTAGCTATGTATTACACAAAAATAATTTTCTAGCTTCCTATGTGCAGTTTTTTAATGTAATGAATCATCTCTGAGAAAGAAAGTAATTAGGAGCCTCCAGTACACCTTGTCTAGCCCATCTATTGTTTTACTCTGGTCTACCACGTCCTTGTTATATATATCCTCTGTTTGATAAAAAGATACAGTATTTTTCACCACTTCTAAGTTTTTTCTGCCTGGTTGCCAATTCCTTTTACTTCTTCTACATCTTTTATGGACAGATTTCCAGGGCAGAGTATAGTATTGCAGGTAAAAACAAGCCATCTAGAAATATAATGGCATTGCCACATAATTGATCTCCTAACATATTTCCAGCTGTTCTTTGCCTTGCTTCACCACCTTTCTGCATACTGGAGGGGTTTCACATAGTTCTCTGCACTGGAAATCTGATTTTTCCTTCTCTTAAGTGAAGACACATCAATGTCACTGAATGGTTTAATTTATCTCTCCCTGCTCCTTGCCCATGATGGCACCCACATCTCTAGGAAACAGATTATTGGCTTTGTTTGAGTTAGCATTTTTCCATCCTCTGCATTTCTGTCCACCTGTCACCTTCTCTGTCAGTTCTGTCTGCTTATGGGCTACATGAATTACCCTTCAGTCCCTGAGTCAGCCCCACGTACACAGACCCACACCCGCTGCTGGGACCAGCACTAGATGAAGATGAATGGACACCTCTTCTACTGCAGGTTTCCCTGAACTCCCCACTGAGGAGCAACAGGAAATCAGTCTCCAAGCCCAAACTTCCCATTACCAGAGACATGAGGAACAAAATAAACCTTCATTCACCCAAGGGGGAAGCAATACTCGAGAGGTGGCATTCAGGTTCCTGCAGGGAACAATGAAACAGTCAGGCAGCCCCAGTTGCCATGCAGCTTTCCCAGGTTCTCTTCAGTGCTTGGGTTGATAAAATCCAGAGGACAGTCAGCAAAGGTCACTGAACAAGCAGGGACGGCAGAAGTCCTGTTTCAGAGGGAGAGAAAGGACAGAGAGGCAAAGTGGAGGGGATCTGACGTGTGGAGCAGAGCCAATTCCACCATCTTCACCACCACATTGCAAAGCATCAGCATGCTGGTCCCTGGGGATCACTGCCAGTGAGTGGGATGCTTGGTGGAGATGCCTCACTTCTGGGCAGCCACGGCCGCTGGCACCGCATGATGCGTGGTGAGAGATGGGAAGTGGTGATGGGGGTGATCAGAAAAGCCAAGATGTGATGAGCTGCAGCAGTGAATCAGCTCTTTCCCTGGCCTGGCCCATCCTTGCCCACATGGAACAGCTGGTGGACATGGGGTGCAAATCACTGCTACTGTGCCTGCTTTTCCCATTGAGACTGAACCCACTAACATCCTGCTACACATGGATCACATTCTCTGACAGGTAGGTAGCATCCAGGCTTGCCCTGCAATTAGCCACTCAGAGGTCTCTTCTGGGGCATGTTACTCCTTGCTTGGCCGACAGCACAACCAAGAGGAATGCAGGGAAGGACATACATAATTCCCCATTGCACAGGCAATAAAAGTATCTTTCCTAGTTTTATAGGCACCTGCTGTCAGGCTTTAAAAATAGGGGACCCAATTTCCATTTTCATGGTGTTCCCTTACATAATATAAAGGAGCTTTAAATTGGAGTGATCTATATTCATCTCATGGTTTCTTTACACTGCCATAGCGCTGTAAAATTTGTTTTAGTGTAAATGAGAATCAGGTCCAAAGTGTTCTTCTACAGCACAGAACAGCACTGGCCCAAGGCTTTGAGCAAGGAACCAGGGAAGCAGGAGAGAAGGAGAAATCCTGTGGTCAAGAATGGAGTGATGTAAGAGGGCAGGAAGGGAGACATGACCTTGATAGGCACATTTGAGAAATCATCCTCTACCAGCTTGTGGCTGTAGATAGCCCTTAGGGATGTGAATGCTCAAAGAGGATTCACATGGGTAAATTAATGTGGGTCTAGGCTTGTGAGAGAAGGTAACACCTTCAGTGACACAGTATATTTGCATATGTATAAATCTATATATGTATGCTTATGGATGTCTCTTGGTTTTGGCAAATCTTTTCAAATTTGTTTCAATTCCACCAAGATCCAGTGGAATATTGATAATTTAGAGTTATTCTTCCTGTACA